ATACATTGTTTCTCTGTTTCTAGGACAGTAGATTTCAACTCTGAATTTGAAAAGAAGATACAGATTTTAAAAGTTCTACATAAAAGAAATTCATTGATCTTTCAAAATGCACATTAAAAATTTCATGAAAAGAAGGTAGAGTTAAAAAGAAACCAGTGTTAACTGTCCCACTTTCCAAATTATCCACCTAAAATTAAATTAACAAGTTGCATGCATAAATAAAGCCAGCCTGCCTTCAATTTGCAAAGTATTTATTATGAGTCAACATTAAAGGCTATCATCTTAAATGTGTAGCACATAAAACTTAAAAGAAGTCAATTTTGATTATCAAAATTTCTCATTAAAAAAAATAATTACTTATGACTATTATATACCTTCCATAGAAGGTCAAGGAAAAGTTATCATGCATGTTCTTCCCATCCATTCTCATTAAGAAGTACTTCTATCCTTAAGGTCTGCAGATTGTGTCTCTTCATAAATGGCCAAAAGAACCCATGAGCAGGATGATGACTGTTGGCAGCTATGTTGTCTTTTTCATATCTTCCCCTGGCCCTCCTCTGCCCTACTGTCAAAGTTTGAGATCTCCATAGTAGGATAGATAGCAATACAGATCTAAACTCACATTTTAAAAGTGTGCTTGAATGCAATTGGCCTCACTATTGCAAATACAGTTTGAGAAATCTCAATTCCATCCTAGTTTTATTATTCACTGTCTACAGCATCTCAGACTTACAAAGGGATGGTTTGGGACTGTACACTTACTGTGCAAGTGTATAGTCAGAGCTCCACAGAACTGGGGACATTCAAACTGAAGATACAAAACTAATTCTTCACCTTTGTACTGAATTTCACACCCTCTCTTTTGGGCATAGAACCAACATTAGTTTGACTTTTTGAATTTTGACCACATTAATCATTTACATTGAAAAATGAAACAGCAGTACTTCATTGTAGTAGTATCTTCTTCAATTATTTTCTACTTTGGAATAACTAATGAGAATCCTAATAAATATCTAACCATTCCTTCACTTAATTACTGTCTTTAAATGGAGAAAAAAATTATTTGTCCCAGAATGATGATTTTAAATGGAACTACGGATCACCAGCTATCACTGTGACAATGAAAAATAAAATAGCAGTGGGACTAAAAACTTTTATCTGTGCATTTTACCTGGAAAATGGGCATCAAAACATAACACCACCCCCCCAACTGGATTCACTTTCTTATTTTAAAACCTGGATAACAATTATTCTATCTACAAATACCAGTTTTTGAGATCACAGTTTTCATAAAAATATTTCAATTTAAACCAAACCTAAGTACAAAAGAAATTACATGAAAACCTTGATTGTGTCAATATTTATTTCAGTGAGAGACATGTACTGTACGTCCCTGCATTGTTTCTACTGTGTTGTATTTTGATTGCCTGCTGGATAAAAAAAATAACAGATTTTGTGCTGGAAATGACACAAGCATGTAACAACCCAATACACATTCAGGACTCTCAAGTCTTCCGGTAAGCCATCCCAGAGAATAACAAAGACTTAATTTAAATTTATTTATGTAAGAGAGAGAGTCTTGTAGTTAACGCACAGGGCTTGAATTAAAAGCTCTGGCTTCCATTCTGACCTTTCTACAGATTTCTTCTCTGACCTTAAAGAACCTCTCTGTGCCTCAGTTTCCTTGCCTGATAGGACATAGCTAGAAAAAAGAAAAAACAAAACAAAACAAAAAAACCCCAGCAGCTACACAGTGTAAAGATCTCTAACCAGCTTAGTAGCTATTGCTAATGATGCCTCTTTAACTGGTCATAGCCTAATTTTGTACACAGGACAAGAATAGAAATATTTTTCTTATACTTTCCCAGAGAACATGTGTGTCTCAAATCCTTCTTCTATCTTTTAAGGGTACTGCTATACAGCGGGCAAATCTGTTGACCATTTGCAGGAATAGTGAAGCAGTTGTGGTCCAGAACCTCTGGATTCATAATTCGTAGACATCTGGCCTCCTCACAGCTTTCTGACAATCCCAGCTGTTGGGAGGCAAGATGTACATGGAGGAAGTTTCATTGCCAGTAGCAGTTATGCTGCAAGGCTACCCCTTGAAAACTAATAATCCTCAACCTTTTTACTTTTTTAATTTTTTACTAAAACAGCATTTCAAATCTCATCTGACAGAACTGTTCCCAGTCATAAAAAGCTGGATGAGGATAGGCTGTCATTAACAGGAAACAACTCATCATCTCTCACTTTGACAAGTTTTTAGTATGGATAAATCATGTCTTGTTGCTGACACTCAGATAAATCCATTTACTGAAGAAAATTCAGGATGCCACTAATGAATTGGACACTCACTCCTCATTGCAACCAAAAGAACCCCACCAAAAACAGTGAATGATTATTTTCTGGTAAAAGCTATTACTTCTAAAGGAAGGGAAGAGCATTAACATTTTTAAACTAAGCAATTGTGAGATACTTGTTTTACGAATTATCTGGAAGAGAACTTTTTTTGGCTAACCCTACCTCAATTGATTTGCAAAACCAGGAAAACTTTGCTAGTATTTGGGCATTGGTGATCTCCCCAGTGCCTGTGTACGTGAGTGTACATTTCTGTATGATTGAGAGAAACTTTAAGATGAATTTGATCTTTGCTCACACCAGGTTTTATTCTTTGCTGATGTTCTAGTACTAGACAAGAAATATACACACACAACTTAGAAAGTAATGTTTCCTGTTAGGCAATTTGGCACAAACTACCTCCCTTACTCAAAAGTTCTCAAAAAATAGGAACAGGCTGCTCCTATATATTTGTCAATATTTAACAATTTCACAGAATTGTATGGTTTATTTTTACTTTAGACAGGTTTTGTTCTAAGAAGGGTTCCAAATATAAGCTGAGTTCAGGGTGATACGAGCAGTCAAGTTTAAGGTTAGTTTGCCAAAATTCACCAAATACAATCTATTTGCAGCAAACTAACAGAGTTTCATCTATGTTAAGCAAAACTAAAAAAAACAAAACCAAACCCCACCACCACCACCACAACAACAACAAAAAAAACCTAATTAGGAAAGGAAAAAAGTGCTACATGACGAATGAAACCTTCCCTTTAGCCCAAACCAAACTTTTTTTTTTTCCTAATTTTTCATAAAACAAAGGAAATAAATGTCTGGACAAGCCTAGTTTCATTAGAAAGACTAACTTAGGTTTTGAGGTGTAAACTCACACAGATATTTAGTGTGTTGGGACTGTTTCATTTGCAGAACAAGCTGTATAATCTTTGAGTCTCTGCCCAGGTGGTTAGGACAGTCACATGGGAGACAGTGTGCCTGGGCTCTAGTGCCTGCATACTTGCCTTTTCCTATATGTTAAGTGGAATAGTGTCATCAGCAAAGCATTAAAATAATTGAATTTCAAATACCCTCTTGTGTTTAGATTCAGGCAATGTGCTAGGGTGTGAGAGTGGTAGAGTCAAATACCATAAGAAGCGACAGAAACAGATTTTGGGTATTCATATGGAAAATTAGTGGCATACACATTGATCTCATTGGTGATATTGATTCATTTTGTCCAAAAGCTTTTCTGAATTCAGAACTGAAAAATGTTTTTGGCATAAGTACCTGCTGACTTGAACCCAAATTCATATTAAGTATTTCCAAACTTCAGTTTTTTAATAAATAGCCGACCTAAAAAAAAAACCCAAGTAAACTAAAAAAATCCCCAACCAACCTGACCAAAAAACAAAAAAACCCCCTCAGACCACTCTAGTAGCCCTTTCCTCACACCCAGCAACACTCCACATGACACAGAGCACACAGCAAAACTATTTAATATATACTACATTAAACAGATAATTAACTACTTTGCTAATTTAGGAACAGATTACCCAAGACCTTGCAGAATTTCCTCTTGCCTTACTTAAAACTTGAAGGCCTAGTATTGTCCTCATGCTAATGTGTATAATAAAAATAAAAACTCTACATATAAAAATATCCTGCTACATTCCTCTCCAGATTAATACTTTTGTTTAAAATGGACATTTTTGTTTATAAACCATTGTCTCTAATGTTAATATTGTATCTGTTTAATCCATACAGCAATAATTATATATAATGCAAAATACAGCTACTATGCACACAGTAATTTAAACCCTTTAAAAAATGCTTGCCCACTCCACCTTTCAAAGGTGCATATACATAAAATAATTCAGTTACAAATCTTGGGGAAGGTATTTATCCTTCAGGCTTCACTCACCTCCAGGTTCTTCCACATGGCAAGCATGAGAACAATCAAACAAAAAGTTAAATTATTTATCTACCTGAATTGTATTCAGAACAATTATAATTTTTCCTTTTCCCTCCACGCCCTACACTGCAAATTCATATCAAAACCCAAAATTTCAATAATATTTTTAAGTGTCAGCGCCTCAAGTAGATTTTGAAAACTATTTATGTTCCATTTAGAAATAGTCACAATACGCAATTTTCCATTTTGTTTCTAATTCTATTTTCTTAATATTTTTGCAGTTTTTGAGAGGGCAGTGGCTGAGATAAGGAACAGGCAAGTACTGTACACATTACATCCATGTAGTAGGTATATTAAATAGAACAACATAGGATGGAAAAAAACATGTATAAAAAGAATACATTAAAAAATTATTATTAGCCTCTTGGTAGAAATACTCTTCCAAATTGGTAAAAATAGTAAAAATCTTTACATTTCAAAATATTTTATGTAATCTATGTTCTTCTAGCTTTTAGAGCAACAAAACTGTTGTTAACTTCCACCAGCCTCTGCTGGACTAAAACCTCAAAGTAAAATAATAACATATTCACCCTTTTGTTTTTCCACTGCAGAGTATGTTCATAAAAACTCTGATCACATGTCCATTAGCTAAGTCTCCATGTTGAGAAACAGAACCTGTCCTCTCAGAGTACACAACAATGAATTTTACTACCACATACGATGGCACTTTCATTGAATACAGCATAAAATAGTAGATAGCTAGTCAAAAATTGGACTAGCCCAACAGTCCAGTACTGCAGTGTTCCACACTCTGAATTGCATCGGTGAGATGGATGCAGAAATGTTTCCTTGACCGCTAATAGGGCTGCTTTGGTAAGAGCCACAGCATAAACAGAATAATATAACAGTATTGCATTTTTGCTGGCATCACTTATTTTTGCTTGTGAACACTGGAATAAGTGATACCAGTAAAAGCGAAGTGTTGCCATGATAAATGGTGTCCATGCAAGGAATACTTTGCTTGTGTTCCAGAGGAAGTGGTAGAGAAGTCCCAAAGAGAAGCAAATCTGAAATTAACTCCACCCAAAGCCTACAAGCAATACAAAGAGATCTGTTGAAATAATGACTTAATTCTTCAAGTCTGAGCAATGAAAAAAAGGAGTGGTAGGAAATGGAAAATTTGAGAATACCCAGTGGCTCTCCATGGAGGTCATGGGGATGAATGCAGCCTAAAAGTGTTGAGAGCTGTTGAATAGTAACTAATGCAGAGCTATGCCTCCAAGAATCTGTGGTATTTGCCCATCAACACTACTAACAGAAAACAGGTTTGAAATTATCTTCTAAATTTCTTTGTCAGCTACAAGAGGTTTTATTTTGTTTTTTGTTTGTTTTAATTCTCAGATTAAGCAAAGCTTTTAATGAGTATGCAGAAGATTTCAGAAATTTGGCTGGTAGAGTAACCTCACAAATTTTAAGATAAACTGACTTTGTAAACAAGACCTCAATTTATTTTTCAGATTCAC